ACCAAAAGGAGTGGTGACTAGCTGAGTTTTTGCAGTCATTAATCGTGAACACACAGCAAAACGCACCTGTGCTAAAACAACAATTGAAGGACAACGGTGAGTCACACCTCTGTGCCTGCATATGTGTAAAGGCGTATATTTAAAAGGGTTAAAGGTACCTTTCCGGCTAACGCCAGTGATAACATAAAGTTATTCTGAGAATCAGCCAAGACAGCGTCAGTGTATAAACATTGTCACTAACTTTTCTCTCGATACTATTTAAATATGTATGGCTGTGTTTTATACCACGGAGCTACCGACCGCAGTTCACTAGCTTTTAGCTAACTAAGCAGTACAAACCTTCCTCTGTCAAAAAGCCCTTTAAAGTAGCATTTGTACCTCAGTATCAAGACACATAGCCCACTTTACTCGGTTAAAGAAATGCTTACGCTAACAACACCCGGAATACATGTGTTGGTTAAACAATTGGCTTTTATCGTCGACAAAACTCGCAAATGTTAGCATGCAGCTAAGCTATCAAAACAACCCTTCGTTGTAGAGAATACCTAAGTTAATCAGCTGTTTGGGTTCACAAATAGTTATGTACCTACGTTATTTGTTAACACAGCAACATTAAACGTGCCCTAACATATTTGTCAGTTTCTAACACATACCGTTGCATCAGCCTTCTAGTGTGTATGTTGCTTTAATTCACCTAGGATTTGGTTTAAGTAGATACTTAATATATCCAATAAAACAGACGGTTGAATAAACATTCGGCAACACAGTATAGTCACAAATTCAAACACACAAACATGCCAATAAAGTATATAACATTATATTTCGGAGAGATATATGGTTATTTTGTTTTCTTCTGAACCACCATGTGTGTCTCTCCTCACAATAAGTCACAGCATTGGCTACGATTACAGGTACCAGCATTCCCTGTGTTACTGTTTTGCTTTATTGGAAATATCTGTCAATACCTGGCTTCAGAGTTGAGAATTAAAATCCATGGTGTTCTTTGTTTTTGTTCTGCTCTAACAGCAGCGGATGGCCTGGAAAGTGCATGTGGTGGGACCTACAGCAGAAAGAGGAACATTAAACTGAACCTCTGAATGAGTTATGAACTTGAACCCCTTCTGGAGTATGTCTGCCAATACAAGTCGTAAGGTAAAGTTAACTGTATCGATGAACATGTTGTTGTTGACAGAAAACTCTGCCTGAAGCCACTAACAACTGTGAGCAAATAACATTAGATTTAATGATGAGCAGAGTCATCAGTCGCTTATATCTTGCATTTAGTAATGCATCAAACAATTACCAAGACAAACAGGAGTTGTGTCGCACATTGTGTTTAGCATATGTCATGGGGAGTGGTACAGTATATTGTGGTGATTGATGAGTTTAGTGTTTCCTTGACCAGTCGTCCTGCTGACAAGTCCAGCTATAAATACTATTCACACAACAGCATCTCTTTTGTCAATACATGTAGTCATTATTAAAAGCATTTATCAAGGTTGTGTGACACATTCCTTACATTATGCAGTTATGTGCATGACGGTGAAAGAGGGAGGAAGGGGTTGTCTCAGTTTTAAAGTAGGACTTTTTTTGCTAGAACAATATTGTTGTAATATGTTGATAGTTATTATTTATTCTTCATACAAACAGCAGAGGGCTGACAATGAGGAGCAAAGTGGGCACGGTGAGCAGAGAGCCAGCCCAGCCCGGCTGCACTTTGGCAAAAAGCAGCTTCCACCTATTCCAAAGAATGCAACCCCCTTTACCAAGCCAGCCTCATCAGGGACCCCAGCCCAGTCAGCCAATGGGACACATGCCTCATATGGGCCTTTCTACTTGGAGTACTCTCTTTTGGCTGAGTTGTAAGTGCTTTAAATCACAGTCAGGTGCAGTTTATAACCTGCATGTTCTAATTTCCTCCGTCTGTGTTGTTTCTTCTGATTTTCAGCACCCTTGTGATAAAACAGAAACTCCCTGGAATTTATGTTCAACCTTCTTACAAGTCAGCACTAAGTAAGAACACGCAAGTGTTTTTTGACTTAACAGCAGATGGCAACTAACCTCCAAATGCCATGCTAAATGTCAGATCACCAAAACCTTTAGGTTGAGTAGTATTCTATGCAATTTATAACCTTCTGTATATTCTCTTTTTATCTTCTTGCACTCAGTGTGGTTTGGTGTCATCTTCATCAGACATGGTCTGTACCAGGATGGCGTCTTCAAATTCACTGTGTATATTCCTGATAACTATCCAGATGGAGAGTGTCCGGTCAGTTTTGTTATGTTAAAGTTTTTTTTTGGTAACTGAGTATATATACTTAGTCACTACATGTATTTACATGAAACGTCATCTCACTGAAAGCCAATCCATTAAGATAAAGGGATATTTGGTAATATTATGTTTGTGTGATAATTTGATATTTTCCCATTTGTTCCTCATGTATCAGAAATTGGTGTTTGACATCCCAGTCTTCCATCCTCTTGTTGATCCTGTGTCTGGAGAGCTTGATGTGAGAAGAGCTTTCACCAAATGGAGGTAAGAATTCTTGTTTTAAACTGTTCATCATATAAAGAACTTTAGGAAAAGTCTAAATATTTTTTTCACTTTCAGTGAGGCCCAAAATATCCATGTATATGATAATACAGTTTTAAAGTTGTTTTCGCTGATAATAATCCTTGTTTCCCTGCAGACGAAATCACAACCACATCTGGCAAGTCCTAATGTATGCACGTACAATTTTCTACAAGATCAATACCACAGAGCCACTTAACCCAGAGGCTGCTGTGTTGTAAGTTATCACCACTGTGTCATATAAGAAATTGCTGGATTTTCACTCTTAGAAAACAAAAGCATTGTGCAAATGTTTCTGAAAGAATGGTCTCACTAAATGAAAAGATTTCAATTGACATGTATGTATTTCTTTAAGATATGAGAAAGATGTACAATTGTTCAAGAGCAAAGTTGTGGACAGTGTAAGACTATGCAACAGTCATCTCTTTGACCAGCCCAAGATAGACGATCCCTACGCAATAAGGTTAGGAAACTGTTCAACTTTGTTTTTGTTGTGGAGAAAGATGCAAACAAAACACAACATCTGTGATGGTTTGATTTATTGGTTCCAGTTTCTCCCCATGGAACCCTGCTGTTCACGAGGAAGCGAAAGAGAGAATGTTCACACACAAGGTACATTTTATTACATCTACACATTTTAATGTATTTCAACAATGTGTGAAAGCTTCAAGCACTTTTGTCTGAGCCTCATCTGTTGTGTAACCGCTGAGTTTCTGTGTTGCCCTAGAGACGTCCTGACGATCAGCACAAGGGAGGACAGGTGTCAGGACTGTCTTGGGTAAAGCCCGGATCCACGCAGCCATTCAGCAAAGACGACACTTCTCCTCAGAGCTGAATCTGTACTTTCAAAAAGTAGCCACTAGAGGACGGCATAAGCGTGAAAGCCCCAGAAGTTGGCCTTTTTTTCAGCTTTTTATGTGTGCTGATCCCAGGATCATTTTTGGGAGAACTTCACATCGAATCTTCATGACATATCTCAGCTTTAAAGGCTTTGTAGAAATCTCAATGAACAGCTTTAGAATAGGGAAAAGAAAGGTTTGCATCATGTTTAATCCGATCCTTCAAATTGATATATTTGGTAGCGTTGTTTAGTCTCTGACATAGTCTGAGAGCTTTCAAAGTTGATCATCTTGGATCCATGCAGATGTTGGGTTCGGTGCTGATCCACTGTTCCACAACAAGCTGAAAACAGTACCACTTGTTAAAACTGGCTCAGAACTGTTTTTCAATCAGTTGTGAAAATACTGTCGGTCACAGCTGTGTGAAAGAAACACTGTAAACAACACTACTTCCCACACCTGATTAGATTGTTTTCTATTTGACAATTTCTTTAAATTTCTTAATACTGTCATTTATTGTTTTACATAGTATATAATATATGGATATATATATATATATATAAAGCTGAGCAGACAAGTTTATAATGAGATAATAAATGAGTAAGTTCAAGTATTTTTATTTGTTTTTTATCTTTCTGAATGTTCTGTAGCTGTTGTTTATTAAAGATTTGATGTGTAAATAATGGGTGCTGTGTTATTAGGGCTTTGCTTTATGAAAATTGTATGCATTCATTTTTGGATTTTAATTAATTATCTGGTGTTTTATTGCCCTAAAAAAATAAAGCACTCTTCTTTTTTTTACTCTACACTTCAAAACATGAGCAAATGACAGAATTCTTCATCGACAATGCCCATTTAATGTTTAGACCAATGAAGGTGCTGATAATCAGCTACTTTTAAAGTGATACAACATAACATTTCAGATGCTGCCGATTTGTCTGTGTTGACAAAGATGAAGTTTAATGTGTTCTGTACTGAGAGCCATTTTCACTTCATAACTGCATAGATGACCTAAGATTTCAATGCTTTTCTCTGAAGTCAATAAAGGTGTGTTAAGTTACTTTTTTGTGTCTCTGTTTTGAAGTTTTTCTTGAGCATCCAATGGTTTTGAGTATTATTATTTTTGCTTTAAACCATATACAAATCCTGAGGAGAAAATGTTGTGATGAACTATATTAAAAAGAAAAATGGCTATAACAGGCTAGATAAAACAAAATGATTGAATTTAAGCAGGGTGGAATGTCAGAACCCCAAGTTCAAAGCTTGAAAGTGTTGTTAAAGTATTTATATTCTAAAATGTGTCTGTTTAATAACAAAATACAAGTTTAATACAATAGTAGTTTTATTTTCCCTGTTTTAACTTATTTATTTAAGGAGGTAACAAAAACTGCAAGAAGCAGTTAGGCACAATAAGAATAAAATAATTCGAATAAAAAAGATAGTGAATGAAATTAAAAATGTTTTTTTTTTTTAAACTTATTTTATTTTTAGGACATACCTGCTGCGCCAGACTCGACCAGAGGAGGACGCCGTGTATCCGCGGAGCCTGGCACTGACAGCTACTGTCATGTTTGCGTTGAGGACTGTTGCGCTCCATGTGCAGAAGCAACACCTCTCTGGATTGGCTCTGGCCTGGATGCGGCCATCTTATGCACTCTGTCAACATAGCGACTTTACAAGTGAATGCCGGCTTTAACTGCCTGTTTTCCGGTGTTCGTTGGAGGCGAAACTGGATGAAGAGTACTTTTACCTCGACCAGCGCGTTGGAATTTGAGTCTTTTGAGTAGCATTGTGGCAAAGTATCGGCGGTCCAATCACAGAGCCTGTCACTTGTATGCAAATGCGCTGTTATCACAGTCACGTCAGCAGCAGCGGTAAAGCCGCTGCGCCGTGGTCGCCAGCAGGAGTACAAGTAACAACACAGTCACAAGTTCGCCGATATTATTGTATCTACACTGACGCCCGGGAGGTGCGACTTTAAGTTCGTTTCAGGTAAGAAACAAAGCGTCCGTTTCTGGTTTTTGAGAGATATTTCCGAGTCGCAGGGTTTGTGTTTCATTCAAGCTTAGAGCTGTCAAAATTCAAACAGCAAGTCAGTGAGCGTTCGCCTCAGCTGTCTGATGACACCGCCTCGCTAGTTGTGTGTGTGTGTGTGTGTGTGTGTGCGCGCGCGCGCGTGGTTGTGCATGTCTTCCCTGTATAAACAGCACTTCTTAAACCTGACAAACTTGCCCGTGTGAGTTGTACAAGATTTATGTGACATGGCAGCAACACACGTCGTCGCACTTTCTCTCAGTTTCACCCGGAGACGGTGGACGTGCGTGGTTGTAAAGTAGAGACCTCCGTGGTCCTCGACTATGGTGGCCCTGAACTGACAGCGACCGGGGCTCACTCAGTCTCTGACTGCTCCAATGTGTGTCTTTCTGTCTGGGTGTGAGTGTGAGGAAGCAGCTTACACTTGAGCAGTTTCACAGAGGGAGATGAAAACCAAAAGTCCTAACGAAGACGAACAAAGTGGGCTTATTGTAATGGCTACCATCGCTGGCGACCTGTCCATTCATCCCTGGCCTCATCCTCCCCTCCTCCTCTTTCCTCCACCTCCTCCACCTCCTCTTCCTCTTCTTGACAGAGGATGCGTCACGACACCTCTGAATCCTGTGGCTTCTTTTAAGTGTGTGTTGTGGGGTGGGTGGTTGTTTGCTGAGTAAATGTGAGTCACACACCCCCCGTAGCCCTCGGACTAACGTTCTTAAATCTAATATACCACGTGCGTTAATGTTTTTTCCATTTGGTGACCAGTTCTGCTCCAAGTGGCGCAACACATGGTCGTCACACATCGAGCTACTGAAGACTAAAAGCTATTGCTGCGTCTAGGTGAAGGTGAATGTGAGGCAGATGAACAAATGAAACCTGCCTTAAAAATGGTCTTTTAGGGAAAGTGATCCACATGTTGAACACTACATCATTACTCAACGCATGTGGGCAAGAGCAGAAGTCAAAAAGTTCTAAGACAAAATCAGTATATAACAGCTGTTTCAAGGTTTGGGAAGAGAAAACACTATAGCAAAGCTTCACTTATTCAGGTTTGGATGAGAAAAAATGACATTTGTTCAGTTTTAAAAAATTAAAAGTTAATTTTGTTTGGTTGAAAACCTATATATATGTATATGTATATATACATAATTTGTCTGCCTCAGACCATTCATGGTTGAGGAAAATGCCAGGCATCACAGACAATGTCCTTCACAAATGAAGCCGACTTCAGCAGAGATAAAACTAAGAACCTCAGAACTTCTTAAATGACAAACTGAGTGTAGTGCCCACTGAGTTGAGACACTGTAGGATGTTTAGTATTTGTGTTTCTGTAATGGTAACAGGAAGACAATGATTTTGCATCTGAAGCACGACCAGCCATTATCAGGCAAGGCTGAGCTTCAGTGTCTGAACATAGCCCTGGAAGTGATAGCATGTGGATGAACTGTAAAAATACTGCTGACATTTGTCAGTCTGAGCTAAACTGTGTGTGCTTGTCCTTGAGAATTTTGTAAAATGCTTCTGTGAATGTGCAACTTTAGCCATGTTTTGCCAGTTGCATGTCTTCTCCCAAAGATTAAGAGAACAGTTTGTAAATTATGATGCAAATGTTTTTCATAATTAGACATATAGTACATTTTATTGTGAATTAAAGGTTGAATATAATTGGGGGCAAAAATTGAAAACTGGCCATACCTAATTTTATGTTGTACGTAACTCTAGTGATGTTGATAAATGCCAAAGCTGACAGTGTGTGTCTAAGATCACAGGTTGTACAGTTCTTATTTGAAAATATGCAACAAACCAAAAAGGAACATGAATGTATGTCACATAGAGAGTCAGAATTTCTGTAGTAGATTTAAAAGTGCTATCTATAAAGGAGGCTGCAGTAAGTTGGAAGCCCATCATCATAAGTGCTCTGACTCATTTGTGTCTGTCTATCGTTCTTCTTCCTGTTTCTCACCACTCTTTGGTTGATGATGTGATGTGGATGAGTGCATCCAGCCTGTAGCCACCTGGCCATGTTTGTCCTTAGCCATCTGATGGATATCAGAGCACTGTCTGTGCTCTGCTTAAGACCTGCAGGAGGTTCAGTGTATTTAAATTCAAAGGGATTTTTCTTCTTGGCCATCCTAAGACCTGATCAAAAACTGATCTTTATTACTCTTTACGGAGTTTTCCTTAGTCATCCTTAACTATCATAATCTAGTCATAGTTTTAAAAATTCACACATGTCATGGTTAGATGTACCTTGATTGTTGGGTCACAGTTTGATACAGTTTGCTAAGGGAAAAAGCCTCAAAAGACCTAACTACACAGTTTTACATTAATTCCTATTCACAATAAATAGAAAGCAGTTTGACCTTCAGTTTAAGATTGAGATCATTGGTGCAGCCTGTAGTGTACACAGCAAACCATGAACTGGACCCCGTTAGATGCACCTTATTGCTGATAACAAGGGAATTGGTAACAGTTACCTATACAGTGCAAAAGAAGCAGATTTAAATGATGCGGACCACCTCCTTACTCATGAGAAGCTTTAAAATTGACAATATATCTAGACAGATGCAAGTTTTCTTCTACTTAGTTCAATAGCAGCAGGTAAATAGCTAATTTCTACCCTTTGGATTGGTGTAGGTACTGCCAAAACTGCCATTTAACTGTATGAACGGAACTGAACTATGACATTTCGGAACAAATACAAATTCTGTCACAGGCTTTATAAAAAACCTTGTAAACCTTTTTTTGTCATATAAAGGCCACCATAAAAAACCACAAAGGAAGTTGCTACTGTACGTCCTCTGTCATGGTGCAACATTTCTACAAAACACAAAGTATTACCAGGAACTTTTTACCAGGAATAAAAAATGTGATCAATTTGTGAATAATCTTGAGTTAAAATTTAAAATTGTGATTTTGACTTAGAATTGAATTTTCACATATTTGTTTCAGTGGTATAAATATCTTTCCCTTACATTTTTTTTAGTAAAAAATATTTGTAAATTCTTAGTTATGCTAATGACTGATGAATTTGTGACACATACTGGAAATGAAAGAATCAGTTGGAAGTTCATATATCAAAAGTCATTTGCATTCTGTCTAACTCACTGAAAAATGCAAATGTTTAAACCATTACAGTAAAGGGGCTTTCAGTAAAAGCAGAGTTTCAGCTAGAGGAGGTGAAGCTGAAGGTTTGGGTTAAGTTTTTTTTAAAATGCTAATCCCCTGGGGATATAACTGCAGTAAATGGACTTCTTTTTCACAGGTCACTGTTTAAAAAAAGGCACAGGCACAGTACAGTATTCCCCACTCCCAAAACAACGTCATTGCTAATTCAGTTGGCACATCAGTTATCAGTAGTTAGGTAACAAGAATATCCTATAAAATCTCTTTTTAAACCTGAACTGAACTCATTAAATAAAATTGTCATAGTTTTAGTTTATTGGTGCAGCCTGTAGTGTACACAGCAAACCATGAACTGGACCCCGTTAGATGCACCTTATTGCTGATAACAAGGGAATTGGTAACAGTTACCTATACAGTGCAAAAGAAGCAGATTTAAATGATGCGGACCACCTCCTTACTCATGAGAAGCTTTAAAATTGACAATATATCTAGACAGATGCAAGTTTTCTTCTACTTAGTTCAATAGCAGCAGGTAAATAGCTAATTTCTACCCTTTGGATTGGTGTAGGTACTGCCAAAACTGCCATTTAACTGTATGAACGGAACTGAACTATGACATTTCGGAACAAATACAAATTCTGTCACAGGCTTTATAAAAAACCTTGTAAACCTTTTTTTGTCATATAAAGGCCACCATAAAAAACCACAAAGGAAGTTGCTACTGTACGTCCTCTGTCATGGTGCAACATTTCTACAAAACACAAAGTATTACCAGGAACTTTTTACCAGGAATAAAAAATGTGATCAATTTGTGAATAATCTTGAGTTAAAATTTAAAATTGTGATTTTGACTTAGAATTGAATTTTCACATATTTGTTTCAGTGGTATAAATATCTTTCCCTTACATTTTTTTTAGTAAAAAATATTTGTAAATTCTTAGTTATGCTAATGACTGATGAATTTGTGACACATACTGGAAATGAAAGAATCAGTTGGAAGTTCATATATCAAAAGTCATTTGCATTCTGTCTAACTCACTGAAAAATGCAAATGTTTAAACCATTACAGTAAAGGGGCTTTCAGTAAAAGCAGAGTTTCAGCTAGAGGAGGTGAAGCTGAAGGTTTGGGTTAAGTTTTTTTTAAAATGCTAATCCCCTGGGGATATAACTGCAGTAAATGGACTTCTTTTTCACAGGTCACTGTTTAAAAAAAGGCACAGGCACAGTACAGTATTCCCCACTCCCAAAACAACGTCATTGCTAATTCAGTTGGCACATCAGTTATCAGTAGTTAGGTAACAAGAATATCCTATAAAATCTCTTTTTAAACCTGAACTGAACTCATTAAATAAAATTGTCATAGTTTTAGTTTTAACATGACTTTATCAATTAGTTTTTTTTGCCACTTTTTAAACAGGACTGGGTTGTTTTTATCAGATACATATTTTAATTTTTACACGTGTCTCCAGAGTGTGCAGTGTGGGAAAATGTAAAGATTACAGAAAAGTATTTATGCAAACAATTGGAAATAATGTCTGTCCCTTGCCATTTAGACGTTAGATAAAATGTTCCATGTAAACTATATAAATGAACTTGTAGCTGTGACTGAGCTGAGGAAGCAGCAAATCTGAAAACAAATCATCAGCCTCAGTCAGTGCTTGGGGAAAGGTTCTGGGTTGGAGCCAGCCAACCTTTGGCCATGTGGATTTTTTCCAGTAGCTGGGGTTTCACAGTGCAAACACACTCTGTTAACTTCTGAAATTTTCCATTTTTAAAAGTGTGAAGGAGAACGACAGTCGGTCATTTCAGCCCTTGATTGACAGGTGTCCAGCAGGTCGCACGACAACAGTCCACTTGATTGCAACATTTAAATTATTTCACAAGACCTCGACTGAACCTCGACTGAACTACTACAAAAAACAATTTTCAGTCTATACAGATTAAGGACAAGCCCAGCTAGAATTCGGCTGTGGTATCAATCCAGTACTGCTCAAAATGACTGGATTATCTCTCAGAATAGGAAAGATTTAAATCAGATTTTTTTTTATGTAAAACATACATGCCAAATAAATTATTACAGCAGGTGTAACCTTATTATTTCTGTGGATAATGTGGGAATCAACTAGGAAGATTCTAGAATGAAAGTGTGTGTTTAAAGAGAATAAATCTAAATTATACAACTACAATCAATTTTTGTGTGGTTTGCTAGACTCAGACACAGTATTTATAGACATTTTATATTTTTCTCTTAAACTTTAGAAAGACTTACAAGACATTCAGGTGGCCTACAGAAGACAGTAAAAAGTCAACATAATAAAAATACCAATGTCTGTCTGGCACAAAAGGAGAAAGTTGGAGTTGCTTATAGAATTTTAAATTATGATTTGATCAAAACCATGACTTGGCTCTTAGGAGTTAGGAGTTGACCTTTGACTAAAATTTAAATAAAGCAGGATAGAAGTGTTAGCTGCCGTCTTTGCAGTGATTTTCATTAACAACACTAATCTACTAAGTTTTGGAATGATGTGTCTTAAGGTTGTCTCTATTTTATGGAGAGTCTACAGAAAAAGGCTCTTCCTACTTGGGCTTTGTGTGTCTGCATGCAGAGCAAGTCAGCATATAATGACTGACGTGGGTTAGCTTCTGTCATCCACTGGTCTGTGGTTACAGAAGATGCACACACACGTACACACACTCACAAACTTAAATCCTCAAAGGGCTTGTCTGTCTCTGGCCCCTGCTGTTGAAATTCTATCAGCTGTTTGCACCTCCCACAAATTCTGCAGCAGCAGGACGAGAAGCTTTGGTGGTTGTGGGGGTGGAGTATTGAGGTGCATTTATGTCTGTTGAAGGGGAGGGGTACAGGAAGAGGCACCTGCTGGTGGTTGGCGGTTGGTTTGTACCAGATGCTTTACTACACACATTAAAGGCAATGCTGATAGGCAATTGACAGAGCAAATTTTCTCCAAACCCTGTCATTAACTGTGTTTCAAAAGATTTGGTTTCAGGATGGGTTGACCTGATATGATTCAGAAATATTTTATTGAAAGAAGAAGAAAGTGGAAAAAAATTGCAACATTGTAAATAATTGAGTCGTCATTGTATGTATTACTTTTATGAGCATTTCACCTGGTTCATAACATGTTCTCTTTCTTTGTGGACAGGGACACAATACAGGGGACATGTTGTAGTGAGAAAGGCTCACTGGGACCAGCAGGGATCGAGAGGTGTCCTGAAGGTTCCCCTTACATTCTGGGCTTACATCATGGACTTTTTTGATGACCCCAGTCTCTTTGGAGGAGGCTTGGAAGGACTTGGTGAGGATGGTTTTCCCTCTGCACAGTCACTTGTGGATGAGCTAAACCTCAGTTCTGACTATGGTCCACTCCAAATGGAGCCTCTGGGCTCAGGAAAGCACCAAGGCATAATGCCACAAGTTTCAGCCCAACAAATTCCCACATACAGTCAACAGATGGGTCACTATACAAGCATCAAAGCACAGAGTCATACAGAGCATGCCTTCTCTGAGCATGGTGTCACAGGTGGTAGCATAATGCCAGAGCATCGTGGCCAGTACCACAATGCCTCTGTTAGTCAAGTCCCTTCATCCAATGGAGGGTTCTGTAGCAGTCCTATGTGGAGCAACCAAGAGCAGAATGGGAATAGATATCACCCCATGTCTCATCAGCAACAACATCTCCAACAACAGCTTTGTCATCTGCCATCGCCACAGCACATCCCACAAGCTAATGTCAGACAGCAACATTTGCGGCAGCAGCAACACCATCCCTATCATCAACAACAGCAGCAGCAGCAGCAACATAGTATGCGACAGCAGCTGCAACAGCAAAGTCATCAGCATCAGCTGATAAACCAGCATCAGCCCCAACACTTGAATGCACAGACAATATCCCTGCATCAACAGCAGCATCATAATTTTTCCCCTCACAAGGGAAGTCGCCCTGAAAGCCAACAACAAATTCACTATGGTCGGCAGGAGGTTCAACACCACCTGACAGCAGGAGGGCCAAGGCTACAGTCAGGAGTTTTGCCAAGCAGGCCTTACCTGGATAACCACAACACGTCTCTAGGTGGCATTTGCTCACAGCCATATCAGCAGCAGCATGCTAACTACCACATGGCCGCAGGGAGTCAAGCCTTCCCCGGATCAGGGCTGGAAGACCCTAACCTGCCCTTCCCGATGCATTCATCATCTATGGTTTCCTCCCTGCCAACATGCTCAGTAAGTTCAGCCACTCCTTACCAACCAACTCAGTACCCTGCCTACCCAGGAGAGCCTGAAATACCAAGTCTGGATCCACAGTCTCTGTCGTCAACCTCACTGTCTGGTTGTATCTCCACCAACTCTGTACCTCAAGCTTCCACAGTGCCTGATCCATTTGGATGTCAATTTTCATCCAAAAGAATTATGAATCAGCAGCACACTAGGATAGCAGTAGGCCAGGCCGACTGTCCATTCCAGGCAGTACATTGTTCTGGAGAAACCCAGGAAAAAAGCAGGCCAGTTGAGATGTTTGGTAAATCCATGAGCTGCTACCCTAACATGACCAACCAGCTATCCACTGAGCAATCTCAAAGCCATGGGGTCATCAACAGCAACAGATACCAGGATTTGAAAGACAGTCTTCTGACATCAGAGGCTCAAGATGGAGGCTTCGAGGGACTGGAACCTCCTGACTTATTGCCTGACCTGCTGCCTCAGCTTGAGGCAGCTCTTAAACAAGAGAGTGAATCCAGTTGTTCCTGGGCCTGTTCCATGGAGAGAGGAGATGATGCCAAAAAGCCTACACCTTTTGAATGTAAAGACGAAAAGGTAATGGTGCATATTTGTTTTAACCACACTGTAGGAGACACAATCTTTGAAACAAAACAATTAGAACAAACAACATTAAGAATATGACTGTTTTTGGATAAGCATACCACAAAATCTGCTCATGCAAACAACAGTGTGATGATGCTGGATAGAATATGTGCTTGTTTAGTACAAAAAAGCAATGGCGGAGCAGGGGGTAGGTGAAGACCTAGCACCTAAGGCCATGTGATTGGCTTCTGAAAATGATAATGGCATGTCCAGCTTGTCCTATTTGGTGTTCAGACAGTAGGTCAGGCCTGATTAAGCTAAGAGAAGCAGTAGCGTCTTCAGGGCTTAGCTGTAAGCATACTTAGGGCTATATCAAGATGTGGGTCAGGGCAAGCCAGAGGCACTTGCACACTGCTTTGCTGAAGTGTGGGGGTAGGTTGCATGCTGTTGTGGTTGCTGCCACAGTTTCTGTGTGTCTCTGTCTGTGTGCACACGTGAGTGTGGAAATGAGCATAGTGGTGGAGAGTCAGTAGCACTTGAGTGAGGGGGTTGGGGAGATGGAGAGAGCAGTAGTTCATGGAAAAGGAGTGCTTAGTAAAGAGAGCAAGAGAGAGAGACAGAGGAAGAGCAGTGAGAGGGAGAAAAAGGAGAGGGGGAGGTTGGGTGAATCCATTAGCTGGCTGTAACAGGCTTCAGGCAGTTCCTGGACCTCAGTTTGCTGGTAACTTAGCATCAACCATGCAGCATCCACAGATCTCCCTGACTCACGTGTACACTCACATAAAATGTTTGTGAATTTAATTGTGTAAAACTGTCTGATTAATCTCTGTCTTGATAGTTATTGCTAGTCTGCCAGGGCCCTGCTGTGGTATGAATTTGTATATTTAATATTTTGTATTTTGTATAATTATTATTATGAAACCACACCCATTCCCATGAGTCGACAGACAACCTGCACATAAAATTCTGGAATGGATTGTAGAAATATGGAAGTATGGAGGTAGAAATATTGCTTCGTGTATTCTGTTCCTTATACTATATATACATTAGCTCCAAGGAAAATGTACCTAATTATTGAAATATTTCAACCAAATAGTTACCTATTAGAAGTACATCCAGATTCCAGTTTATACAGTTCTAATGATACCCAGCCCTAGTCCTATGCATGTATTTTCTTCGGCTTAGTACTTGTTAGAGCCAAACGTAGCAGTCACTAGGCAAGAGTGGACATAGACACTTCACCAGTCTGTTGCTGGATCACATATGGAGACAAAGATTCACAATTACATAAAATGTCAATTTTATAGTGTCCTGGAAAATTTGGGAAATTGATATATCTTAAAAAACAAATGCACATACCGGGAGAACGTTCAACTAAAAACAGACATTTCTAAGAGAGCTCAGTTTACAATTTTAAAATATCTGGTGTATTTTTGGCTGAATTTTTACCATAAGAAAATCAACACCCCAATAGCACCAACTAACATCCAACAGGCTCAAAGCAACAACAGTGATCTGCCCAGACCAGAGATCAACCACACTGGCTATCCGCCCATCTGCAAAGGTCCTTGATTGAATTGGGCTGTGAAACACAGCCACATGACCGAGCCTCTCCCTGTCTGTGTCAACATCCAGGCCTGTGTTGATGCTCACAGGCTGACTGTGCTATTCATGTGCACTGATGTGTGAAGAGCCCACTGATAGTGTGTTTGCTGAACAGGCAGGACATTAGCAGATAGCTTGCCCAGTCTTCACTCCCCCGCAGTTACTGTGGCTAATTAGTCCTTCCAATGGTGGTAATGGTAAAATGCAGCTGTGATTGACACCCGTGTTTACGTTTAGAAAATCACTGTACTTGATGTTCAGATTGATTTATTTGATATAAGTAAAAAAAATGACCAAAATGCAGACAATGCAAGACAATATTCTCATGGACTGGTAGTCACAGTGTGGCAAAAATACACAAAAAAGTACAGTATATGGCTTCTATAATAGCAAACAATATGAATACAATTAAAGTATGTAATTTGTAATTTCCCAACCTGGGATCAATAAAGTACATCTATCTTCTCTTTCTCTATCTATCTTAATATTAAATGCCAAAAAATGCAGAGAGGTTTTGGGAGTACTACAAGTAAGGCAATAAAAGCAGGTTGTGTTTTTTTATTAATTATATTAAATATTTTTTTCTCCTGGGAGCCTTTTAAAGAAAACATTCTAAGAAACTATCCAAAGATTTAAAAATATGTTAATTACCTTTCTTCTATGATGAAATACTTTTTGTCTTTTATAGTTGGTAGTTAATAGATTCATAAACAAACCTACAACATTTGGCTTATGGTGTTTACAAGGAGCCACTAGACTGACTTTTATTTTGTCTGGCTTAAATACTTATTTAAATACAAATTTGGCCTAGATCTATAAAAACAGAAGTAGTCTTAGTTTGCCGTAATTTTGTGACCAAGATAAAAATAGGATTGTCCATTAACAAAATATAATTTCTGGGGTCTTATTTCAAGAAAAGGACTTGAAATTGACATGTAAAATTGACTAAAATTCATCAGGAGTTCAGATATTTGTTGTTGCTCTGTAATGGCGGGGTAGAGCGGACGTCTTTAAAAAAGTTAATAATGGTTATTAATATTGAAAATACTGTTCAGAATTTCATATAGCAAATAAGCTCAGATGGACATTTTCTCCCTAAGTAAATTGCTATATGTTGTTAGTTCTTCAGACTTGGCCAGAATCATATGACATGTTGTGAATCTTGTTAAACGTAGGTCACATTTTTTTTAATTTTCTCTTGATTTCCTGGGATTCCCAGAGCAGGGGCTCTGTTGCCCAAGTAAATGAAAAAAGGCTGTTTTGGAAAATGTCAGGAACACCGTTGATGAGTTGATGAGTGTATATCGCACAGAGTCGAACACATTTTCCCTCACTGAACAAATTGACAATAATAGTGCAATAAAATGCGTTACTGAGCAACTTTAGCTCCTGTGTCGCAGTGTGTGCGCCTCAGTAGCTTTGTTACTTCTGCACCTTCATGAAGTAAATTAATCCCAGTCATCCAGCCAACCAGACTGAGCAGACACTGCCATAATCAGCTGTAAAACTTGACACCATGCATCATCCTTGCCCTGACAGTGGGGCACTGGGAACACACACACACTAGCATACACACTAGCATACACACTAGCACACACAGGCCCCTGTGAAACCTGCTCCTGCTGCTTCAGTAGTCACATGGTGATAGGCTGTGTCACACACTTTCTCTCATCACCCTCTTACTCCCCTCCCCATGTCTCTCTCTCCTTCGCTCGCTCTCACTCTCTCTCTCTATGTCTCTCTAACTCTCTCTAACTCTGCTGTTGTAACTCTGCTTTCTCTCCCTAACTCTCCCCCCCCCCCCCCACCCCCCCCCCCCCCCCCCCCCCCCCTCCCTCCCCCCCCCCTTCCTTCCTTCCTTCCTTCCTTCCTTCCACCCTTGCTTCCTTCCTTCCTTCC